TGAAGGTTTCTGTGCCTTGCTGGTGGTACATGACACAGATCAAACCAAATTAACTGTGCAAAGCAAATCCTGCTTTAGTTCTCCTGGAGAGAAAAGGTTTGAGTATAAAGGTCACCCTTTGCTTCTGATTGGCAGCTACTACACATGGCACTGTGTTGCCTGCATCTTGGTTTGTTATTTCTTCCTTAAAAATACAGATTTTATCTGAGAGAGAGAGTGTTACTCCTGGTAGTGATACTGTAGAAGCCCTAGTAAAAATAATCTTATCCACCACTCTTCAGTTTAAAGAAGTGTCTATTGTGCTCTGAAGTTTGATCTAGCTGTACTTCAGGATGGGTGGGATTATTTTTGTGGAAAGGTGTCCTTAAATTTGAGGCAAATGCCAGGCCTCAGCCCAGAGTAGTTTGATTTATATTGTTTAGAATTATTCCATGCATAAGATTTTATGGCTTAACACCAGGTAAATAGTTTACATCAGACTAGAAATACCAGCCCTTTAAACATCTTAGGACACTTCTCCTCCTTAGCAAATGTTTTTCCCCCACTACACTAAAGAATAAACAAAAGGTGACTGGGAGGTGAAGGTACAAAGGAAAAAAAAAAAAAAGAAAAAAAAGAATCTCCAAACCTTCATTTACTCTTTTCTGGCACAGTTTTATGAGTGCTTATGGCAAATTTGCTTCTGTAATCATAACTTGAACCCATCTGGGGATGAGATTGGCTGCTAGCTCGGTATTTCCACTTAACATATTCATGATTAGCATGCACAGAAGGAGTAGAATTAGGATGAATGTTTTTGGAACAGTACAGATAAATCCTCCTAAATGTAGTACAACAGCTCTGGAAATGCACAGTACTGGAATGTAATGAAGCTGAACTCTATAGAGAGTTTGGTATTCTCAGTACCATGCCTCTCCTAATGAACTCATTTAGATTAGAAAATGGATTTAATATTTCATTGGAATTAACCTGAGCCAGTAAAGAGGATTACAATTTCTTTCCATAAATATGGTGATATTACAGGGTGAGGTAGCATGTTACATGAATATTAAGCATTTTATGAGCATTGTCATGAAGCCAGAAAGAGTATAAGGTAATTAGGTTTTAATATAGTGATACTGTTCTTATGGTAATTAAATTTGAAAAGTGATACAAGTATATTTGAAAATTATTTAAATCCATATTTTGTTGCATTTTAACAACTTTAGTAATGCTTAAAATGAAAACCATGACACGGTTACCCTAAACAATCCATTTCAACAGGTTGTTGTTAAATATGGAAAGGTAAAAATAACACATGTCCTTAAGACAGGAAAGAAGACACATTCCAGGAAAGACGTGATAAGTTTATTCTGTTTTCTTTAGAACAGTATCTGCTGGTGGGAGAATAGTTACAGAAACAGGGAAAAAATCTTGACATAGATGTAATATTTTCCTTTGTTTTTCAAAACCTTGTAAAGTTGTGTCCCAGTGTTGTTTCTGTCTGTTAGACTGTCTTCTATAGTCACAAACGTGTTCCTTATCACTGTCTGTGTTCTCCTACTTATGAACAGTTATTTACTGAAAAAAAAAGACTAAATCATTGTCATTGTAGTAGTCTTTACAAATGTCACTTTAAAAACTCTCAAAAAAACCAAAAAAAAAGAGTACTTCAACAGCTTGATAAAGTTGTTTGAGCATTACTCAAATGCTAAGAGATTTAGTGTTTTTAAAAAAGAAATTTATGATGTGAAATTGATTTTCGATATAGACTGTCTGTAAAAGCCATCTGCGTATCTGAACAATTACTAATTTTCCATCTGAAACTCAGTGTAGGCTGTGTTGGAGAATAACTCTGAGCTTGGGGGAAGTACAGGACTTTACCAACAGGTAAAGTTGGACAATTCCAAATATATCCAATTGGGTGTATGGACTGGCTGATTGAGAGAATTTCCCTCTGCTATAAAAGCTTTTCACTTCAAATGCCTGAATGCACAAAGTGTAAGGGCACCAAGAAGGATTGTTTTCTTTGTAGGAACCTTTCAGAAATTTAGTTCAACTATGGGGTAACATTTACAGCCTGTTTAGGTTGTGAGAAAGATCAACAACAAAAAATTAGTGAAGTCAGTTGTCAGATTGTTGTTTTTGCTGAAAAAAAATGATCTTAAGTGCAAAGTGTTGGGGTGGGAACATGGAAATAGAACAATCTCAACAATTCTGAGGATGGATAGAGTTGGCTAAATAAGAAAATATATCATGTCATGACTATGGTAATTGAAATAAATAAATAAAAGTTCAATAGATGCATTTTATGTGATTTTTCTTTTTTTTTCAGTTAGTCCCAAAATGTACATTATGTAACAGCATAAAATCTGCTATAAGACTACATATGCTTGATCACCGCTGCCTGGTCAGGGTTCAAAATTCTGAGGGATAGTCCAAAATTCAGAATTTTGTTGCGTTGCAATGCGAATTGAGCAATAGAATAAAAATTCAGAATTTAATTAAAAATAATTAGCTATGAAATGTCACAGGTTTAGATTGACTTATTGAGTCTGAAAAGATGTTTCCAAAATATTTCCTTTTCTCGTGGAAGACAAATAATAGGGACTGCCTTACTCTCTCTTGCTCTGGGTCTTGTTATACCTAAAACCACTCTAGAATTTTCTTGCTACCGTTACACTTATGCATTGTGGGACTTGTAACTCAGTTTATTGAAGAAAATGGACTCCCAAGTTATGAGTCAAAAAATAGTGTATAATGGGAGGAAAATATATTTCAGTGTTTTGATGAGTCATTTTACAACACTTTGTGTGTTTGTACTGATAAACCTTAATACACCCAGGGTCTTTTCATTTTTCTTATTATCATGTGTACTAAGGACATTTGTGAGCAGTTGGGTTTCATGAATACTTCCCCTCAAGGCCAGCTCTCAACAAATCTTAAATTGCAAAATGTTAAACTCTAAAAATTTGGCTGGTGCCTAACTGGGAGATGATAAATGCTGCCTCAGATTTTCACTAGTTTTTAATATTCATATTCATTTTCATATTCATGGACTGGTGAGTCAGTGTTATTAATTCTAAAAAAACCAAACCAAAAGAAAAAATAAATAAAAAAGAAAAACAATAAAACAAACTGGTAAGGAGATCCCAAAATTTATTTTTTAGCAGTTGTTTTGGTTTTATTCTGCACTCTGGTGGTGGTAGTGCTTGTTATTACTATTGTTCTCTTGGTTCCCTGGGTCTGGAATAATTTATGTGCATCACTTATTTTGGCATTCCTGCCATATTTATGAAGAGAAGTTACAGAATCCCTTATCTACATAATATTAGTCTGCCTGACCAGCAGCAATTAGTTATGGCACCAGTCTTTTACATTATTCTGAGTGCTTCCAACCTCATCATATCTTCAGGGATTCTGCCTTTCTCTCTTGAGTCACCAGAATTTGCTTCTCCAATCAGACGCCCTGGAGAGTAAAAAGGAAAGCAGAATGGAGCAAGAGGGATGGAAAGTAATGAAAAGACCTACTGGATACTTTCTTTCCCCTCTTTTCCCTCAGCTTTGTTTAAATAATTTCATTTGCTTCCTAAGCCAGTTCTGCTAGTGAATTTTCCAGGAAGAGGTGGGAAGGCAGCGACGACAGCCTGTCTGAGGAGATTTGCCTCAAGGCAGGACTGGAATTCCCTAGAAGGTTAAAATGTTGCACATCATTGCACAGTGGCTTCTCCCTGCAAGAAAATTTCAAGAGGTGGCACTTCTTTTTATTGAATTTTGATCTTCCTGTGCTTGCAGTACAGCCCTGGGTGAAGTTCTGCACTGGGCTTGAGCAGTGAGCGAGTGGGTTACAATGTCAAAGGACACAACTAAAATTTTAGTAGCAATGTCTTAATGACACCACACTGAGTTGTAATTGTCCTTTTGTTATAAATACATTTTTTTCCTTGGGCTTTTATCTCTGTTCTCACTCAATTTTTTTCATTTTCATAATTAATTAAAATGGCAATGTTCTATAACCAGTGATTGAATTATATGATATTACTTGCCTAAGGCGATCAAAATTAATCAAAATAAGGAGTGAAAGTTTTGCTATTTTTAATACAGCTGATTTGATTCCTGGGGTTTTGATCAAATTAAATGAAGGATCAAATTAACCAGTGATTAAATTGAGAAAAAGACACTTTTGTATGCCTGAAATATGTTTTAATTTAATTAATTTCAAGACACAAAATATTAACCGATGTTTTAAAAATTCATTTGTATTTCACTGTTTAATTTTCTAGAAACTATTCCCTTCCCAAGGTTAGAACCTTTTACAAGAGAAAAAACACACTTTTAAAATAATTTCCTACTTAATCCTTTCATTTTCCCCCCATACTTTTTAATGCTTGTAGAGAACCCTTTGCACTCATAAACTATTATTCTGAAGCTTCTGAACTCAGCCTACAAAGACTTGACGTGCCAAAGGCCAGTTTAGCAGAAATCTGAGGCTCCTCAGAAAAGAGCCTGCCAACCTGAGCAGACAATTTTGACCACAGAAGACCTCGAGCTGTTAACATTTAACCCACACATTTGTAGAAGTGTTACCATTTTTGTCATACAGAATTTCATTAGCGTTCTCTTAGAATCTAGTTCATATCTTTGTTTAATGGGTTAACACAACTTTTTACTGTACACTGACAGGTGCGAAGAAATCTAAACATGAGATTTCTGTTGTGGTGCAAAAGTGGTCTGCGTGAGAACAAAATATATTTTTGTTTGCATGGTCAAAAAGAAAAAGCTTTAAACTGCACTCATGACTCTTACAGGGAGTTTGCACAGACTGGTGGAAAGTGGCTGACCCATCTGGGGCACAAATGGAAGAAGCTGAGGGTAGAGGTAATTTTCTTAAGGGTGATTTTTACTTAACATTTAACATTCTTCAGAATCAGAGAATAACATAGTGAAAGGCAAGGTGAAGAACAGGGTCCAATTCTGTGAGTTACAGTATTAGACAAGTGTTGCCTTGTATTGAAACACTTCTCTTCCGCTCCTTACTATTAATAGAAGTGAAATAAAGCTGTAAGTGTGTAAACATACCAAACAGTGATTAAAAATACTTGGTGTTGTGTATCAAGGCTGAGTGTATTTATGCATTTGAGGCACTTAAAAAAATTTCAAGTGGAATGTATTGGTTGTAAGTGGAGTCTAATCTCATTATTCCTTAGGTCCTGGAAAAGGCATACTTAAAGGATTAGGTCTATTTAGTGTGATCAGCACGGTCAGTCTGTTGCAGCTATTTTTGATTAATGCATTTATTCTTTCAAAAGGAAGAAAATGTTTTAGTGGGAGGAGAGAGAAAATGAAAAATGAACACTTAGAGAAGTGTGAAAGCACTATCATCCTCTAAGTAGCATTTTATGGTAACTTGTGGTGTCATTTTGAAATAACCTTTACCAGGAGATGAACAACTGGCACAAGCTGGATCCTGACTTATTCTGTGCTTGGAAGTGATTGTTAGTCAGTGGGAATAGAAGCTGTGAGATAAAATGTTGGTGTTGGCAGGTTGATAGTCCTGGTGATAACCTTAGGAGAAGCGTGTAAGACAGGAAAAGGCACAAGGTGCTGGACAGTTAGGAAATAAATGGCTGATAAAGCCAAAGAGTAGAGAAGCACTGGAGAGCCTTAGGATTGCATAGATACAAAGACCAGGTTTGTGGCCTTCAGGGTAAGGTCAGCTTTACTTTATTGGCTTGTCTTACATGTCCTGTGCAGGACTCACCCTTGAGGTTGCACACTTTCTTTGAGTCTCTGCTTAACATGGGTGTTTGGTGCCGTTGGGATGCCCAGTGCCCACGTAAAGATCAGGAGATGCTCACTGGTGGCAACTAGGTCTGCAGGCACCTGCAGTTTTCCAGGGTGTTCTACTATACACAGAAACATGATCTCTTAGAAACCCTACATGCAAGATCCCTTATAGAATCTAAGTTGATTTCCTGTCACAATTTTTATGTTTGATAATGAATGTTTTATTCGGTGGGAAAAGGATCTTGAGTTTCCTTTCCTGGTCTTGCTATCAATTTGGAATTTGAGTTGGGACCTGCATTTCAATAACTTTTCCTATTCAATGACCTGCAAAAATGAATATAATTCTAGTTATTTATTTTATATATTTATTGCAAGAGTAATAGATTTTAAGATCCTTGGATACATGCTGTCATGGAGCAAAGTGTTTTTATGGTGTTTGCTCTGTGCATTTTAAAATTGCAAATAAAATATTTGGACAATTGTTTTATGAGTGTTATCAAAAGTATTTCGAGAAACGCTTGGAACTGCAAGGTAGAGTTTGATGCAAAAGGTCAGTTATATAACTCTATTTCTATTGCATCTTTGAGAGCTATTATATTTCCTGTGGCAGTTTTAACCTTGAATATCAGTGGTATGACATCTGTGAATTCTTGAACGTTGTTTATTATTTTCTCAAATCTTGCTGATTTATAGAAGTAGTTCTTCAATCAGTAGTATGTTTTGCTTTGAACTTATTTCTTCCTTATTCCTACCTCCCACTTAATTTTAAGAACTTTGGTTATCTAAAAGATGAAAACAGTAAACCACTCCTTTTTAAAATTCTGCTACCTACCTGTTATTCTCTTTTTTCTCTGATGGATATAATCAAAATTCTTATGCTTCCTCTTTGGTGTTATGTACTTTACATGACATCTAGAGGCCAAAATTGATGTGAGCTGTAATTAATCTTTCTGTGAGGCTTTATAGACCCATTGGTAAACCAGAGATAGGAATCACACTGTCTGCATACCTAAAGTTGTTGGACATTCCAAAACAAATCTGCATTCAGAAACTGTATTTCATAGTGTTGTCGTCCAGCAGATGTAAAAGATCCGTTGAGGGGGAAAAAAAAAAGATGGTGTGAAAAACAAAGACTGCGTTTGTTTTATATGCAGTCCCCTGTGCAATCAGTGCATATACAAGTTGTACAGTGATCTAATTAGAGCATCTGACATTTGCCTGTGACAACCACAACCCTTCAGGTAATCAATAGTGTTAAGATAAACTGCCTGATTAAATACACCTTCATTTCCATCTGTATTCTCAAGTTGATATGCAAATTCACCTTGCCTGTATAATTTCTAATACTTATCTTCTGATTCTTGCTTTTAAATATGTCTACTTTATCCATCAAAAGACCAAAAGGACCAAATTTTGCTATATAAACTATATAGCTATATATGTTATTCTGTTGTAATTTCACATGCATTCTGTGAGCTGTTTCAAAACATCTCATTCAATAAGCTTGAGTTTCATTAAACCATTGTTATGTATTTGTAAACAGATTACTAAATGGAGCAAGCAGAAAATAACAGTTATTTAGAGCTGAAGTTTACATAGCTTAAATATGGATCACAAACAGTTTTTTTTAATTTTCTTTTCTACTTTATTAACAGCGAATGACTAAAGTTCATTTTTTGATGATGTGTGCAGGAAAATATTTCCCCTTTTTGAAGAGGAACATCTTTTTCTGCAAATTGCTATGCTGTTTAGATCTGGTTTATCATTTTAGGCTACATATTTTAACATCTCCTTTTCACCCTCTGAGACTGGTTATCAGGTTTACTATTATCTCGGTCCTGGTAAAAACATGTCTCTCAGGATGCAGCCCATTGATTAGTAATTAGCTAAGCTTGTTTCAAGTCATAAACTCTTTAGACCTTGAACTGATGCTTACACTGAGCCTTCCTAACTAGTTTATGCTTATTCCTCTAGCCTTGGAATTCAGTTTGGATTACTCAGCTGTGGGTCCTTGAGTGTTTGAGATCATTATCAATAACAGTAATTAACTTCTGTGTAATGTTTCGCCTAAAAAAAAAAAAAAAGACATATTGCTTTAGGACTCTTTAAAATTAGATCACAGTGAAGCCTTCATTTAGCGTTTCTACTCAATATCCCCTGAACTCTGCTTCAAAGTGGCTGGTCTGGGACTGTTGGGACAGTCTTGTCCCATGGCCAGGGCAGGCAGGTGTCCTGCCGTGTGTCCTGGAGCTGGCAGGATGGCAGGATGCCAGTGCCAGGAACTGGAGAAGTTAGGAGCACACGTGAAACAATTTCTGTTATATTTGTCTGCAGTCACTAACCCTAATTGGCTACAGTCACCTATTTCTTCCACAAAGGACTATTTTAGCCAAAAGTGTCAAATGCAACGGTGGTTTTTTGTCATGTCATGAAGGATAATCATTATCTGTGATTGTTCTTCTGGTATAATTTTAAATTATATTCATTTGGTACTTAAACCTTTTTGTAATAGTGAAGACTGTGAATAATTTTAATGTTTTGATGTCTAGACCTAACATAGCACAGGACTATTACTCAACAATAACCATACAATACTTTAAAAGTACCTGAGCTAATTATAGGCCTAAATTTTCATGACCATCACTCTCTCTCCCCTAATTTACACAAATATCTTTGAAATTACTAAATTTTGGCTTCTATATTTCAAATAATAACTGTTTACTCTGGAAAACAATCCATACCCCCAACCAAAACGTACATAACACAAACACACATTTCAGATAAGTTTCTCTACAGGTTCCTTTCCTGTACACCAAAACCTGACAACCTAAACCCAAATGAAAATGAAAAAAAACCCCTCTTTCCACTTCTTATTTTGCAATTTAAATCACAGTTTTTCTTTCACTGTATTCAAATACTTTAAACTGATAGAGTAAGAAAGGATTAAGTTGATCTAAGATAAAATACAAAAGGATGTTGAAGACTTTCTTAGAAATGCCAGAAAATGTTTATTCATAGGTTTCTCAGAAATAGTATTTATAAGTCTGTGTATTATGCACACAAATATTTACAAAAATAGTTTTATATTTCTGAAATTTTAGCGTATGTTAAGATACAAGATGACTGGCATCTCTCAGTTACCAAAATATTTTTAAAAATGTTTTAGAATTAATTTGATTTGTTGCCCCCTTCCAATTTCCTCAAAATATTTTTGTCATGGTGGAACTACACATGAGGGTTAACGTTGATTGGTGTGAAGTTCAGAGGTGGTTCTATTTTATAATGATTATTTCAGAATGATCATGTCCTTTTGAGAGTTTAGTGCTTCAAGAACTCGTTCCTATTCTTAATAGTCTAACAAATATGTTTACCTATTAGTTTTACTCAGATTATTTCAGAACTTCAATACTAATAATTCACAAGCATAATGAAATATTTCTGCATCTGATTTTTCCTAGTATATTAAATCATATTTTATTTCAACTTTAAGAGCAGATTCATCAATGTGCTAAAGCAAGTAGAGCATGCCAGCCAGCTAAGCTGGATTTTATGGTTGTTTTGCCTCTCTCCAGGACTGCTAAACACTCAAAGCATGTTGATGATGCATAAGATCCTAAACTTGAAATATTTGTGACATCAGCTTGTTATAAAAGGACAAAAGGGAGAGCTCAATCTCCAGGTCACAATTTCTACAAGCTCTGTGGAAATGTATGATTACATTTTTCTTCATCATGCTCCTTCCCCAGCAGAAGGAATCGTGTGAAAGGGAGTCTTTCAGGAACAGTTCTCCAGATAGTGTGTGGTCAACTGATTTTTAAATTCCATTTGAATGGAGCTGAGTACTCCCCACATCAAATTTCTAGTGCCTCCCCCCGTTATACTTCTGATGTCTTTGCCCAGTCTCCCTAGACTCTTGATATATTACAAGCACCAGAAGTTTTGCATGCAAATTTTGTTGACTAATTAGCTCTGATGTCACAATAACCTACGAGTATTTGATTTTGCTGTTCTTAAGTAAAATTAACTAATAGTAAGAGATACTAAACTTAACTCTTCTTTTTCTGGAACAGAGGACTATATACAGGAATTCAATAGCTAATAAAAATAAATTTCAAGAATGCATAATATTTTCTTTTTGAGGTCATTAGCAGAAAAAAACCCCCTGACATATGCTAAACGGACCGACACTTTTCTTACAGGAGTAAAATTTTAATTAACTTTAACTCAAGATTAATTAACTACCTTGTAATTTCACAAAAAAATTAATTGTTCTCACAGGCTGCACAGTAATTTCAGAGATAATGCACTACATTCATCACTTAGAACAAAAGTCCTTGCAAGATGGCACTTGGTCAATACAACAAATGAGAGTCCCCCTGAGCCTTCTCCAGGCTGAACAGTCAGTCCCACATTCGGCCTTTCCTTATAGGAGAGATGCTTCGATCCCCTGACTTTCTTTGTGGCCCTTCCCTGGACTCTCTCTAGTATGTCCATCTCTCTCTTGTACTGGTGAGCCCAGCAATGGACACAGTGCTCCAGGTGTCACCTCTCCAGTGCCGAACAGAGGGCAAGTATCACCTGGCCTGTTTGCAAATAATGCAAAGCTTTGAGAAATTCAGTGTGGTTTTTCTGTTTTTCGGCAACATAAAATATTCTGCCTGGCCTCCAGCTGTCAGCCAGAGGACAGCAGATCTCCCTTGGGTTGTAAGTCATATCTGCCAGCCTTGTATGGTTGTCTTGGATGCCTGCATGGTAATGAATGCTATATTTAAGCAACTGAATCTTATCCCCGCTGCTTGGTTTCATGGTGTTTGTTTTTTGGGGTTTTTTGTTTGTTTGTTTTTTTCACATTATCCCTAGACTTTTTAACTTGTTTTAAAAAGATTTTAGAAAGATTTTACAACATTGCTTTCCCTTGACAGCTGTTACTTGTTTTCTTGTAATCCCTTGGGTTTACAAAAACCAAAGGATTGTGTATTTTGTTAAGTTATCCCAGAATTTTTTTTTCTTTCTAAAAGAATGTCACTATACTTACTATTTTTTGTACACTAGGACCTCATCTGTCTTCAAAATATCGAGTATTCTGAATAGCAGCCATCCAGAAAGTAATAATCTGATGCCATTGCAATAATGTAGCAACCCAAATATATCAGAAGTCAGTAATTGTCTGTAAATAAATTATCTCATCTTCTTTACTACATTTGTTTTCCCACACCACTGAACCCAGCATTGGCACTGTGTGGCTGTATGTGGCCCTAATTGCTGAACCTTTGGTCGCCTCTTTTCCTCCATAGGACATTATCTTTCTGTAGAATGAAAACCTCAGCTACACTCCCCCAGGCATCCTCAGTGATATTGAAATAACTGTAAAGTGTAACACAATTTTAGACACATACACCCAGTTATACTGAATCCCATTAGTAACACCTTCTTGCCTGCTTGTCATCCCACAATCACAGCAAATGCTAACTCATTATTAGGGTAGCAATATTTTTTTACTGTTTTGAGGCTGCAGACTACAAGCAGGTCGAATCCAAGTAATGACCTACCAGTAGAATTTTTGTCATTTATGCTTTAAATGTATTTTTAGTGAATAGACCTTTAAGAAATCAATGAAAGCTCTGAAATGGTCATTTTTCAAATGGCTAATCTCTTCTTCAGCTTTTCCATTGTATCAGATATCAGGATCATTTAAGGCTGAAGCACAAACTACTTTTCTCTCTCGGAAAATTTTTCATTTCTGTTTTTATCTCAAGTTTCAGCTTCTGCTACTGGATTTGGGCAGACCTTGGAATTTACATACCAAGTACTTTCCAAATGACTTTGAACTCCTTACAAAGACATGGAAAAGGAAATGCGGTTTAAGGATGATAATTATAAGCACCTATCTCTTGTACCCTTCACGTACATAAAGCTCCCATTGATTTCAATATGGGCTTATTTTCACCATCAGTGTGAAAAGTGTGAATAATTTTATTCACAGGCTTTATGGAATATGAATTGTAGATTTAGTCCTGATATATCACCTTTAGAATAACAAAAGCAACAAAAAAAGTGTAATATGCCAAAAAGCAGTACAACTCTTCTATTACAAACTTTGTACCAGCTTCCATGGCAAGAAATAACCCCAGTTCTCAGCAGTTCCTATTCCTACCACTGCTGCTTTGCAAATGAAACTTTAAAGATAAAACTATGCTTGAAATAATTGCATGTTTACTTTTGCATAAGAAAAAAGAAGACAGAGAGATATTTGTTACCTAGAGAAAAAACCAGTCACAAGGGTCAGTTTTTTTGATTTTATTTTTAAATATAAAGTATTTTCAAGAGTCAGAACAGTCTTTAAATATTTAAAGTAACCCCCTGAAAACTGAGTCACCTCTACATTTTTAACTGCATGTGCTGTCTTCTTGTTATGGTTTTTGATGTGGTTCTTGGAATCTGTCATTCTCTAGTGCAGAAGTGTGTAGTATAACTGGTAACCCTTGCACTAAAATGAGCAGGGGGTGAAGGAATTTTGCGATGTTCTTTTGGTGCCCTGGTGGAATCCTTGAACAGAATTTAGCTCTCTTAGAGTACAGATAGAGTGATTTGTCTTAATGAGTTGTAGAAAAGCAATAATAGAAGATCTCGTTGTAAAGATTTTTTAAAAAAATAATCCTTGAGTTACCAGACTCCATGAAAGGTATTGGGTATTAAATTTTAAATAATCCTCAGAAAAGAGAGCTTGAAAATGGCAGTATAAATAGGTGGAGTGTATTTATAACTTCAGTTCACATATTTCATCTGTCTTGTTCTCCTTAATCAGAGTAAAATGTTTCAAAAACTAATCAATTTATGAAGTCACTCCAGGAGTACACACTTGTACATTTCCTACTTTTTACCATTTTTAAGGAGGGATTTATTTAAAGGAATGACTGACAAGGTTAATGATGTAAATGGAATATTTCAAGAAGGGTATTTGATTGGACTTTTTCATATTTCCACCATCAATTATAATATTTTAACTGATTCCTGCAAGGTTTTCTACTATAACTTAATCTAGTTTTCAGGAAGCATTTTAAAAATTAGGAGACCATTCAATAGATTTGATGCTTAAATGTTTCAAAAAGCAAATTTTTCTTTTGGGACAGTTTATAAACTGAATTTCTGGATAGAAATTAGAATTTTTCTTCAATGCATCTATTATCAATTCATCAGTCAAGTTTTGATGACCTTCTGTTACACAGCCAAAGCTGCTGATGTACAGCTTGGAATTTGTTATATGTGTTTGTGTAACTCTAAAACCAAATTCAAAACTTCTTTTGTCCCTTAAAAAAATAGGAAAACCAAAACCATATGGGCTTTCCTAAATGAAGACATATAATGTACTGTTATTTTATACTAATATCTGTTCTAATGACAAATTTCATTATAGAAGGAAGTGAATTTTAGAGAAATTAATCTTACTAATAAACTCTTGCCAATTGGTTGCAGTCCTTGTTCACCTCTCAGAAGAGTCACAGAAGAACAACCAGTGTACCTGAGAAAATTTTGTAATCTTTCCAAATTCTGTGCTGGTGGACTGCCACGCATTGCTCAATCTACAGGGTGAGCCAGGGGCACACCCAGTGGGTACAGACTCTGTGATGCTCCTGGGCATGAAAAGACTGACAAGCAATGCTGCTTTAGGTTCAAGAAAAATAGCGCAAAATTCCGGGAGTCTCTGGGCAGCTTGGAAGATGTGCAGCTCCTGGGGTGCTCTTCAGGCACCAGTGCAGCATCAAGCCAGCTGCATGTCTGAACTCCCAGCTTCTGGAGACCCCCACTACTGTCTCCAGCAGCCACCTCCTGACTTTGCAAAAGACTGATGAGGGCACAGCACAGTTAAGACAAAGAGTGTTCATGTACCTCTTTGTCCCAAAAGGTTTGTGTGGATGGGTTATCCTTTCCATGTGCCAAAAGGTGGTGTTAGTCCTCCCCCAAGACCTGCAGTCATCGTGGCAAGAACTCTCAGACACTTTTTGTCTCAAAGGAAAAACAAGTCCCAGGTTATGGACATTTCTCCATTGCTGGTGTCTCTCTGCCATATATGTAACAGCCTCGTGTCTATGACCACTCCTCTGCAGTCCATGGTGGTCAATAATGTCCACAGGTGATGTTGGGGGGGGGGGGGGACAGTCAGCAAGTACCACTGTGTTGTTTGGAAATCTGCAGGTACTGAGTAAGTTACTGACGAAAATGGGTGCTTTGGCTCAGACCTTACACAAGCCATGATGGAATGACAAGAAGAGTGGTGCAATAAGACCACTTGCTCGAGCTGAAGAAAAGCGCAGTGTGCTTCCTGAAGATCTCCACTGCGATGCCTGCGGGTGGGGAAGGCATTGTCATTGGGATAGCCTCAGCAAGCCCTGAAGCGCAACAGTAAGAGTGGTGTGGGTGCATGGCTAAACTACTCTAAGGTCTCTTCTGCAAGCCTCATACAACAAAAATTTGAAGAGTCTCAGCACCAGGTGTTTTGATCTGTGCCAGATTTCATGTCAATGTGCACATAATTCTTGTTGGCAAAATCAGATTTCTCTGCCAATGGTAACAAGATTGTAATACCCTCAATACAAGAAATTTAGGCTGGATTAGAGGTGAGTAAATCTGGTAATCTATAGAACCTAAGAATAGATAATAAGTGCTTTATATATGTTATGTATGTATGTATGTGCATATAGAATAGGTAACTGTCAGCACCCTTTTAAAGGGGAATAACACTCTATGCAGTTATTCACACTGACTTCCTAGTTAGAAATATACTTTCAGGCAGTGTATCTTTCAAGGTGAAAAGTAAGTATAATAGCAAACTTATCTCATTATTAGATTTTCCATAGATATTTTGGTCCTGTGCACTGTAAAAAACCCCAAAAAACAAGATGAAACTTCTTTGAAGAACCTCAAAAGGACCAACACTGTTACAGAAAAAAAGAAATTCAACAGATAAAAGTGAAACATTGCAATGCCTTGTTTCCACAGAGCTAGAACAAGCAAATATTGAATCAGAGACTGAGCCAATTAAAGGCACAAAGTCCTTGCACTGTAGAAGTGAAGAGCTGCAAACTGGGGAGCTAAAATAAGAGATGTCAAACCAATATTTATATGTATAAACAAACATATGCACCAGTCTGAATAGGTAAATAATTTACCTGGAAATTGCAGAGACAAGACATATTCATGACAATGTCCTTGTCTGTTGGTATTGCAAATGTGAAAATGTATAT